ACACTATATTGTCCTTTTCTTTCGGCTTCTTTGCCTTCATCTTCACTGAGCCTTCTGCAGTTGCCTTTTTAGGGCAGAGATGCAACTATCTGGAAGACAGGAGACATACCTGATACAAGCCCCTGGACATCTAAAACTACTCCTATAGCCAACACAAAAACTAGTCTTTTAAGGACTAGAATTGCAATAAAATTTTTAAATACCGTATTAAAGTATGCTTAAATGAAATTATTTGCATTATTTAGTTGTCATCATGAGAAGGGGTTATGTAAAAGGGGAAGCAGGAACAAGTGTGTCTTGTTTAGTGATGAGAGAGGGTGGTCTTGAGTGAGTAAACCAAAGGACTCACCATGGAGAGTAGTGTGTTATTGGATTAAGAACTTTGAGAGCAAGAGTGAGAGTAGCTGAATGACTGAAAAACCACACTGAGAAGCTGGCAGTGTACTGAGAAGAGTGAGACCTAACGGTGTATGATGTTAAGAGTAGGGAGAGGGCACAATGAATGTAATTATGGGAGGAAACCTAGTAGGAACATGCACAACCAACCAGCTGGGAAGAATTAGGGGTTGGGAAGACCAGTTACAAAGGTATGGTAGTGTTCTGGAATGGGACAATATGAGCATAGAAATACCCATCAAAGTAAATTATTATCATTATTATGAACAAAGAGCATTCTCAGAACTGGCTCTGAGATGTGTGATCTAAAATGAGTTTTGAGTAATACTAGTGCCTCTGGATATTAATAAGATTTTTAAAAACCTCTGCAAAATGTATGTTCTCAAGATGTATCCCAGGATTTATGAGACTTAAATGTGCAAAACATACAGTTTTGAATTTATGGAAGGATGATAGGAAATGCTGATTTCCCAAATATCTTAACTAATTAGGCTCACCTCCCTTTTCTCCCAACAAAGCATTTTTCAGATCTTGTGGAGATGCCATAAATAAAAGATGATTTGGAGCCAGGTCACAAGAAGCTTAGGGTCTAGTTCAGTTACACACTAACGATGTAACCTTGGGCAGCTGTGGGTCTGGAGCTCTTCTTTTATTGTGCTATCCTTGTGTGGGATTACAGGGGGGGGGTTAAAAAGGTAACAGACTGTAGGGGAAGTATTGAGACAGTTACACATTCAACAGAAGCAAGAGTTGGTTGGCATGTCCTCTTTTACAGGCAAGAATAAATTGGTGGCTATTATGCCCAGTGCTCCTGATAAAATTTACTACATTCCTCTAATAGCTCAGGAAATTATCTACTCGAAACAAGAACAAAGTTTAGGGTTTTAAAAGTTTATGTGTGACATATAATTAAAAGTATGACTGCACCAGAATGGGTTAGAAAAAGAAAGCCCAAAAGGGCCAGATGTCTTCCTTCTCCATACATGTTTTTATCTCCTCAAATACCCATGTGAGCAACTCTCAAGTGCTGTCCCCTGTCTCTAGGTTCCTTGAGCCCAGAGAAGGATGCCAGGTTTTTATGTGAAGATCTAGTCTGCAAAACAGAAACATTCGTGTGCAAATGAATATTTCAAGCTCTGGGATCAAAGTTAATTTCACTCCCTGCATGGGACATTCTCTCAAACTGTGTACAGATTTCAATAAAGTGCTCTGAAAGGGCAATGTTTATTTAAAGAAATCACAGGTGAGCATTACCATATACCTACTGTGTGTTAGGCATGAACACAGGCACTTTGGATGTTGTCTAAGGAAAATATGGTAAACCACAGAAAGGGCATGGCTTCAGCTCACCCCCTGGGGTTTGAGTGTTAGCTCTGCCACTTACTACTTGTGTCACTTTCATTGAGTGATTTAAATCCTCTGAGATTACTATTTCTCATCTGTAATATGGTAGCTACTTTATGGAGTTGTCTCAAGTATAAAGTGACTGAAAACGTCAAAAGCAGTGCCGCGCATTTAGTAAGTGCTCAATAAATGTTACCCATTATTATATCTACTATTATTTTAGTATCAATTTCCAGTGCTTCCCCAACACAAATGAAGAAACAAAGACTGAGACCTGAAATGGCAAAAAATCTACAAAGGAAATTTGCTGTGTGGAATTTTACTTCCAACGGGAAAAGGAATATTTTCCTTTTCCCCCCATGCTGTAGTTGGGCTCTCTCCTTTCAGATAATGTTCAGTCAAGACATGAAACAGCGCAGAAGATGTCTCTATCGTGTTTTGACTTTTCTAAAGGAAGCTTCCAGGTTGTCTTTCGTCCAGATTTTGGAGAGCTAGAGATCACCTTTATCATGTGATCAAAGAGTCAATTTATAAATAATACAACCAACATTTTCCTGGCACCCAAAGTACAACTTCTCCCCTTCTCAATCCCACAATCTCTGCTAGTCTCAGTTCTCAGCACTTCGTTTTTTAGTCTGTAGTAAAGTTAGTCAATCTTAGGCAAAACAGAAAACTGCACCAAGTCAAAGGTAAAGAACAACAGGATTATTTACTGGGTGCAGAGCATATGTTTAAGATTCCCTCTAATTTCAGATGATTTTTTTTTTGTAACTTATTTGAGGGGTGGAGAGAGAAAAAGAGAGACAGAACTGCCATCTGCTGGTTCATTTCTCTTATGCCTGCAATGGCCAGGGCTGAACCAAGCCAAAGTCAAAGAACCAGGAACACAATCCAGGTCTTCCACATGACTGGCAGAGTCCCACCTACCTGAGCTATTACCTACTGTCTCCTTAGTGTACATAAGCAGAATTCTGAAATCTGGAGCAGAGCCAGGACTCAATCCTAGGCGCTCTGATGTGGAATGCAGGCATCCAAAAACATAACCATTAGACCACACGTCTGCCCCTCAGATTATTTGTTTGAACCATGGGTGAGAAACTCTGATGCCTGAAAATTGTCACATTGTTTCTTTATCTCCATCCACAGTTTCCCCTTCTTCCTCCTGTCCTCCTCGTCTTTCCTATTACCTTCCTACCTCCTCCCTTCCCCTCTATGCCATCTCTTCCCACTCTCTTTCACTGTTTTTCTGCTTGCCTATAGCCATGCTAATCAACAGTGTTGACTTTTATAGCATTTACTGTTTGCTAAATGCTCAGTACTTTTTTTTTTGCATACTTTAATCTGTCTTACAAGAATGCAATACACGGAATAACATACTTTCTGGATTTGAAAAAAGATGTAAAGGCTGATGCCTGAAGCCTTCTGACAGTGAGCCATCATCAACTGAGTTGAGTTCAGGTGAGCACTGACCATCTCAATGTAAAGAGAAGAGACAAAATAAATGTAATTCACGTTGCTCCCTTACTGTGAATGGATTTTGAGGCAAATAATGAATGGTTTCAATTAGGCATGCATGTGGATTTGATCCATCCACTTTAAAATAATCTTAATTTCTTTTAAATAATTCTTATTTTAATTGAATCATAGATTGGAATTCATTCTTGTATATTTTCTATGATGAGGTTCTTTAATAATTGTGGGTGAAAACAGGGAAAGTAGGATGCTTTATTTAACATTTTATGTATATTTACAGTACAGCATAGATCAACTTTTGCATGTATGTTCCTTTTTTAACATACATGTTAATATTGTGCCATTGTACCTCAAGCCATATTCGTTGGAGTTCATTTGTACATTCAAGAAACTATAGGCCGGCGCCGCGGCTCACTAGGCTAATCCTCCGCGCCTTGCGGCGCCAGCACACCGAGTTCTAGTCCCCGTCGGGGCGCCGGATTCTGTCCCGGTTGCCCCTCTTCCAGGCCAGCTCTCTGCTGTGGCCAGGGAGTGCAGTGGAGGATGGCCCAAGTACTTGGGCCCCGCACCCTATGGGAGACCAGGATAAGTACCTGGCTCCTGCCATCGGATCAGCGCGGTGCGCTGGCCACAGCGCGCTGGCTGCGGCGGCCATTGGAGGGTGAACCAATGGCAAAGGAAGACCTTTCTCTCTGTCTCTCTCTCACACTGTCCACTCTACCTGTCCAAAAAAAAAAAAAAGAAAAGAAACTATAGCGACTCTATGTGATGTGAAGCATAACAGTACTGTGCTTTCTTTAATGTTTACTTAACTTTATTTATTTTAAAGGCAGAGATCTCCTATCTACTAATTCACTACCTGAATGCTCACAACAGCCTGGGCGGGGCCAGGCTGAAGCTGAGCACCAAGAATTCAATCTGGGTCTCCCACATAGGTGGTGGAGACCCAAGTAGTTGATCCAAAACTTGCCGCCTCCCAGGGTGTACATTATTTTGGAAGTAGATCTGGGTCTTCAACCCAGGCACTTTGATATGGAATGCAGGCATCCCAACCCAGCATCTTTGCTATGCCAAATGCCCAGCCTATGTTACAGTTTTGGAGCTCAGAAGATTTAGATTTTAATCTAAGCCCAGACCCTGCTACTTCCCAGCTTTATGACCTTGGGCAAGTTCCTTAACCTGTGTGAAGTCCAAGTTTCTTCTTTGGTGATCATGGAGCATAAGAGCCACCTTTCACAGCTATTGTGAAGGTTAAACGTAGAAGCATATGAAAAGGCACACACTCAATAGAAGCTAATTGTCTCCCTCCAAAATAATTTTCATTTATTATAAAAATTATCCCCAATCCATATCTATAGACCTATATCTATATAAAATGAGTGTTTGTATTGTGTAGACTCATAAGAACACACACACCTACCACCCCAAGTATTCCCTGTAGAACCAAATACAGGAAATGACTTAACATACCTATATTCACTCTAATCCAGATCATACTCCATACAATACCTGTTCTACAGAGGTATGAAAGCACACTCCACTCTTTCCTGGTCACAGAACCCATGGGTGCCATAGGTGTGTCCTAGCACCATCTAGTGGAGAATTCCACTTTCTACCCCATAGTGCCTTGTGCTGGTTCTAACCATTACTATTACCTTTTTAGAGGCTACCTCTATCATCCTAAAAAAAAAATGAGATGCTGAATGATCTCCTCTATTTTTCTATTTAGGTCCTTTACAGCTTTCTTCCTGAGTGTTTCTAGGATGCACATATCTCATTGAAGTATTCTCACTTTTGTCTACAGACAAGGAAAAGGCTTGAAGCACCTTAGGATACTTCAAGAGGACCTGAGTGACAGTGAGTACATGCATCATTTCTGAGTTTGTATCTTCAGGATCTAGAAGAAAATGTTGTATCCTGTAATGATGACTTTCACTATTCACTCAAATTGGGAATGCTTTGTATCTTTTCTTCCAGGGAAAATGCATTTATTTCTTTTGGTGAGAACTATGGCTCACAAGATGCTACAAGCCAATTTTTTCAGGGAGATGAAATGCTATTGGTCTTTCTCTAGCTACTAAGGAAACCAGTGTAGCTATAGAAATTGTTACTGCTATGTATTAATGAACTCATGGAATTTAATCTTCATTCCCGTAGTGAGTGGATTTTGTACAGCAAAAGATGTAATTGTAGAGAGAGATAAACATGCCACTGTACTTGAGTCTTGGTTTTGCAACTTCTTTATGCCATTCAAAATTATAAACGTGACTGAGAAGCATAGGCATGGATGAGTCAAGAGAAAGCATACTAGTTCAAATCTTACAGATGGGTTAATTGGGCCCGAGAATGTATAAATGCTGTTGAAAGTCATGTCATTACCAATGTTACATTCAAGTGACTAGCTTAATGAGCCTTCTCAGTTGCTCATACAACAATAAGACATATACATGTTGTGGGGACAATATCAACCTGGGGTCTCCATTCTCCCTCCCCTGCTCCAAATCTCTGCCAGGGCCCAGAGACATTGGGATGAGTTTGATCGATTGATTTTTTTTTTTTTCATTTTCTACATTAGTCAGCCCAAAATGACTGCTATATGTTACTGACATGTTTGATAAAAATGGTAAGGACTGCTGGCTAAGAGTCCTCCAATGCATAGGATAAGATAGGAGTATAAACAGTCAAGCAGTAAACAAGGATGCCGGAGAAGGGCAAGATGTGATTCACTGCTACAGTAGATTTGACTTAAACTTTTTACCACTCAGGTAATAAGCCAAACTTTGTGGAAGAAGATAGCAATTTAATCCAGAAATAAGTAGATTGTTCTATCATTTTTTTGCACACAGATGAGAACTGAATGGATTTCCTCAACCTGTCTCATATTGTGAGAACTTAGGTCATCTGAAAGCATTGAATTGGTTCTGGCAAAGGTTGAATGCCTGAGCTTGCTTTCCTATTCTTTTGTTTACTGGGCAAGTGACACACATTGGACAAATCAGAGTCTCATTCTATAGGTTAGGGAAGTAGAGAAGGAGGAAATAAAAGTACCATGTTTTCATTAGGCTTGAAGTTGCTTATTTGCAGAAAAGTTCTTCATCAAATGCTTGTATCTGTAACTCAGAATATGACCTCAGTTCTGCTGCTTTTGTTGCAATGTTCCATTTTGTGTCTAATATTTCTTACTATGCTAGGAATCATTGTGAGTACATTGGTTTGTATTGATAATTTTATGTTGTGTGATCCATCACTGCATTGCATGTGGGGGCTGGGAGGAGGCATTACTTTGTCTTTCATTTGGTGCTCAGACAGCACGCTCCTATTGATTTCTTGGCTTGTGCGTTCGTTAGATGATGATTTGCACTTTTCCTGCATTGTGTTTATCCAGATGATGTTTCAGATGCATCTACAACACATCATCATTAACAACACACATTTATTGAACATTTATGTGCTGTGGATCAGGCTGCAGGCTAGAGGCTGAGGATAATAAGAGGATTTGATGTGATCTCCACTCCGTAGGGTTTTATTTATCTATTGGACCACATTTGTTGAAAAAGGAAAAAGAAGACACCTAACAGCTTATGCCCATTGAGTGGTACAGGCAATAAATACTATTGGAGTTCAGAGTAGAGCATGGTTGGTGAGGGTTGGTTTCTCAGGAATGAGATAAAATTTGAGTGACTTCTTAAAAGATGTGAGGGCTGTTTTTATGAAGTATTGAATACAGTGAGTTTCTGAATACCGTGGTGCCAAAAAATGTAATACCTATGTCTTTAACTACAATTGTCTTGTTAATTATTTATGAGCTTAAGACTAAGGATCAATATCTACCTGCTTTCCACAATGCTTTCTGCAGAGCGCTATCATTAATGCCTTGGATGCCTCGTCTTGCACACCAAGGAAGAGCCAGCCAGGCTGCTCACTTTTGTCACTAACACCTCCTGGGCCTGGTGGTCAGCTTTTAGGGTTGTCTTTTGCTTTGTCTAAAATTTGCCTTCACTTCCTCACTATTGAAAGCCATAGTGAGAAAAATAGGTGTCCTGTGACTTCTTACAGCAATGTGAATTTTAAGGTAAGAGAATAAGAAAAAAATGCCTTTCTTGTGGTTGTTGCCCCACTGCATTGCAAGGAGAACTCAAGTTTGACCCTGGTGAGGATATTAGTCCCTCCAGGGAAATATCCATTTATGAGAAGCTCAGGGTTTTTCCTTTATAAGGGAGAGATGTTCAAACAGTTTTGAAGATTGAAAACTTCACTTATTACTTCTGTGAGACTTCACAAGTCCAGACAGAAATTTGCCTCAGTTTATTGACAGAAAGCTTAGCAGGAAGACTGTGACCAGGATTATTGATATCCTAAGGACTAAGCCTTGTGACTTCTCTTATACCAGTTCTTTTCCCAGAACTCTTTCTATTATTTCTGTCCTTTTTATACTCTACATTTTTATAATTTATTTTGGCTTTGGTAGAATGAGAGGCAAGGAAGAAATGTAATTCAAATTTTATGACCTTCATTTCTTCATTCAGCATATATTTAAGGATACCTATTGCAAAAAATAGCATAAAACATTCTGTAGGTCTCCAAGAGACCCCAGCCTACTTGTGTTAAACAGGTGTAAGACAGATACTGACATACTCTAAGCAGGAAAGAAAATAAGACAATAAGCTTTCTCTGTAACTGTTTCCCTCATTCCTACACATAGTAGCAAGGTAGGTTTAAGTTATATAATTAAAGATAATTCAATCTTTTTCATTTTAAAATAGTTTCTTAGGTATAATTTAGGTAAAATATTTAGTGACTCTGAAGTATAAATGCTCAATCATGGATGTTTCCCCTATCACAAGAAGAATCCCTATGTCCCTTCCCAGGATGGCTGGATATGTGCCAGGAAAGCTGACCTGTGCCCTGAGAGTGAGCAGCTATCTTCTGTGTGGTCCTCATTGCTGGCTACCAGAAGGAGGTTGGTCTAGATTGATCGGCCCTGAACACTTGGTACTGTTATCTGCCAACCATGGCTAATCTCACCTGTGTAATTGTGGATGTCATGCAGGTACTAATGGCTGAAGCCCACAGTAATTACATTGTATCTGTGTACAGAGGTCCTTGCACATTTAATCTTTCTCATTTAGTCCAGTGTTGCAGGATCTCTGCATCCCTCACCCATAGTCTGGGGCACATATAACATGGACTCAGAACTCTCTCTTACATCCATCTGTTAAGAATACTTCTAACCATGTTATGTGAAGAAGGATAAAATAGTGACCTGGAGTTCTAGAAGATCTCACTCTGTCTAGTAGGGTGTTTTAAGTAACTCACTGTTCACCTTTGGCCAAGGCCTAAGAAAGAGTATTTGGTCCCCAGAGAATTGGGATTTATTGTTACCATGGGATCATCCACACAAAATCCACCATCTCCTTGCCTAAGAAGGCTTTCTCGTCTTCCTATCTGGTGTAAACTTCCCTTCTTACTTCTGTTCTCTACACTATGAGTTAGGGTGAGATCCCATGATTGAGTTTGCTAGACTTGGCTTCTGATCTAAAAATGAGAGCTTTGTGAATTTAAAGAAGCCTTTCTTTCTTAACTAAACTTGACTTTTGAAACTTTTTCTCTGTGGACTCAAGACAGACTTGCCTCCTTTTCTTTTTATTGCATTCTTATTTTAATCATCATAATCATCCCCAAAGCAATGGATGTCTCTCTGACCAAACATGAACAGCACATGAAAAAAATGTAGAGAGACAAACAGATATTACAACACACACACACACACACACACACACACACACACCATAGTACAACATCCATCTAAAATCATTGAGTAAAAAGAGCAAGACTGAATAGTGATGAGAATGTGATTGGAACACAAGTTCAAAAGTTGGACCCAGAGAGTTAGAGCAATGAAAAATGGGCCTTGATTTGGACCTAGAAGATAAGAGAATTAGAGTGAGTGTAAAGAAGAGGGAATGGGCTTTTTATCAGACTTACAGTCCTCTTCTGCAACCCCCAGAGCCTCTTTTATAATCCATGTATCTCTCTCTCTCTCTCTTTTTTTTTTTTTTTTTGACAGGCAGAGTGGACAGTGAGAGAGAGAGAGACAGAGAGAAAGGTCTTCCTTTGCCATTGGTTCACCCTCCAATGGCCGCCGCGGCCAGCGCACCGCGCTGATCCGATGGCAGGAGCCAGGTACTTATCCTGGTCTCCCATGGGGTGCAGAGCCCAAGTACTTGGGCCATCCTCCAATGCACTCCCGGGCCACAGCAGAGAGCTGGCCTGGAAGAGGGGCAACCGGGACAGAATCCGGCGCCCCGACCGGGACTAGAACCTGATGTGCCGGCGCCGCAAGGTGGAGGATTAGCCTAGTGAGCTGTGGCGCCGGCCATGTATCTCTCTTTTTTTTTTTTTTTAATTTCTTTCTTTATTTATTTATTTAGACAGGCAGAGTGGACAGTGAGAGAGACAGACAGAGAGAAAGGTCTTCCTTTGCCGTTGGTTCACCCTCCAATGGCTGCCGTGGCCGGCGCGCTGCGGCCGGCGCACCACGCTGATCCGATGGCAGGAGCCAGGAGCCAGGTGCTTTTCCTGGTCTCCCATGGGGTGCAGGGCCCAAGCACCTGGGCCATCCTCCACTGCACTCCCTGGCCACAGCAGAGAGCTGGCCTGGAAGAGGGGCAACCGGGACAGAATCCGGCGCCCCAACCAGGACTAGAACCCGGTGTGCCGGCGCCGCAAGGCGGAGGATTAGCCTAGTGAGCCGCGGCGCCGGCCCATCTTAAAAGTCTTTGTTGTCTCCATATTATGCACGCCTGTGTCTTCCTGGGAAATTATAAGTTACCTGAGGACAGGGATGAAAACACTTT